TTTTTTTTTTTTTTTTTGTTCCACTTTCGGCTTGCACCTTTTTATTCTACACCAATTTGAAGCAGACCTTGCACACGTGTACATAAAGCGCAATTCCCAACGTGTCGAAAAAAAGTGAACCAGACGAAATTAAACGCGTAGAAGGAATAACGTATATATATGTAACACGCGATATTTAAGTTAAGCGTCTTTTTCTTTTCCTTTTTTTTTTTTGTGACAAAATGGGTGTCTTGCTGTTCCGTTGCATGGCACAAAATTGTAAAACTGGTGAAGAAGTAACGAAAGAACCGAAAGGGCATTTGTGTGATTTTCCTTTCTAGATAAGTCCTACGATGTATATATATAATATTGATATTTTTCTTTTTTTCCCCTTGTAAGAATTTTAAAGAATAAAATCACGCACATTCGCATGTAAACCACCTGTCTGCTGCCTTTTCCAAGCAGAAATAAGCCCTATATTTCCGCTTCTACATTTTTCAGTCCTCCTTTTTGCACACACAGCACGGTGCGAATCGAAACCCCCTGCGGTCACCACGATAACTGGACCGAGTAGTATTTCTGCAAAAAGTACCAATTTTGCGCCTTCCTATTTGTGGTTCCAGCTGCGCACAGACAAACGGGTACACACAGGCGTATACCGACACGCGGACACTCAACGCGGACACACAACGCGCATGTAATACAAAGGAATTCCCTCCCAAATGAATCACAATTCGGGGGAGAACACCGATCCGAGCACGGGGCGAAGTGACAACTCGATGGGGGACTACATCGATGAGGGACAAGACAAAAGGGATGACCAAAATGGGGAGGAAATGGGCATTCAAGAAGAAGTGACCATTCAAGATGCAATGAGCATCGCAGAACTCCCTGACAACCAATTCACCAGCGCGCAGTACATCCCAGATTTGCACGGGCTGGGTAGAGAGAGACAAGCGCTGTCCTGCAAGGTGAACAAAATGATAATTCCAGGACAAGTATCCCCTTACCACGTACCCCAAGATGAATCTTCCTCAGAGAGAGAAACTTTATATGACGAAAATGGATTTCCAATAAGGACAAATTCGAATGACCAAGAAGGGGAAAAAAAATTGTGGTCATGGACCAACGAAGGAAAATTAAAACTTTTATGTTCTCAGCCAATAATCCCAGTGTCTGTTGTGCAGGGGATACTAAGGAGGGACAAAATTATTTTAATACCACAAGTGGAGGTAACCGATTTTGTTGTCCCAAAAATTTATAATCAAAATATAAAGCATGATGTGCCTAAGCTGGACATAAAAGTGGAATGCTCCAAGGTAGAAATACCAAATGTCAAATATGTGGAGAAGGAAATAATCATTCCAATCATCACAGGGTACACACATAAGTTCATCCCTAAATGGGACGTCCACGAGGTTCCTAGGCCAGTTGTTAAATACATAGGGGAGCAAAAAATAGTAGAGGTACAAGTACCCGAAATTAAGTATATTGACAAAATTGTCGAAAGAGAAGTAATCGTAGATACCGTGGAAAAAAGGGTCCCGAAAATAATCGAGATTCCAAAATACGTGGATGAAGTTAAGTATGTGTGGAAGCCTATTGAGAAAATTGTATACATACAAAAGTTGGTCCCCAAATTTGACGTCAATTTGGAATGTCCTCCACCTTTAATCGTCCCATACCCGGTACAGACGGTCAAGCAGATGCCACCTGTGATGGTCAGAAAGGATGTGAAATTTCCAGACTGTGATTACACTGATTTCAATTCGCCTTCCGGGTCCTTGCCAGTCCCTAGAGAGTACGTCGATTACTATACTCCTAGGAAGGAAGCCAAGAAGGGTATTTTTTTCTCGAACTGCTGTGAACCGAATAGTAAGAGTAGGGAAAATCATGATGAGACCTATTACGAGGTGTCCCCCAATTCGGCCATGAGGGCCTCCGAAGAATCACTCCAGAATGAACTAAATATTTGTAATTCCTCCAACCCGTTTGTCAATATCAGCGCCGATTCGATGTTAAACAAGGGGGGCCCAAAGGTCGCCCCTGGCGCCGACGTGATTGCCAACATGAATGAGGACATTAATGCTAACATGAATGGGAACATAAACGTGATTGCGAACGTGAATGCATGAGGGGGAAACATTTTTTAACCCATAAAATAGCAATGTTTACCTTTTGATTTTAC